CTGTGATCAATTTTACCAAGAATCCTGTGAATATTCAAGAACTATGACAAAAATTGAACCACAAGAATGCAGCTTGATGCTGCGTTTTCAGAAATTTTTCACTTCTCTCATACCTGAGATCCAAACAAAATTTAGATAATAGAAATCTTATTAATCCTGGGGTGGGGGGAAGGTTTTAGTTATTCCCTTACACCTCTGAACCATGCCTTGATATAGAAACAAAAAGTCACTCAAATGCAATTACATCTTATATACACTTACAAAATTAATAAACCATAGTACAAAAAAAAGTCATAGATGCTACAGAACAGTGAAGCTGCAAGGTGCAGTTATGATTAAGAATGCCCTAACACAATCTACTGTCATTTTACTGACTATCACACCTTGCCTTAATTTAGCTGAGTTTGCTAGTCCAGCAACTGCTATCTACAGTAAGTTTCCCTGGAAGCACAACTTGCTCATGACATACTCGACACGGTCACTGGAAGGAACTGTGGTACAGCAATCTCTGTTGCAGACAGAAAATCAAGAAGTCTCTATTTCACATTTCCAACAGAGTCCAACAAAGAGAGATTTTACGCAAATGAGTTTGACTTGGACACAATTTGATAAAAGCAAGTCCTTGCAGCTACAACATTTGGAACATACTGGTTCCTTAGGTTCAAAAATTTAAGTAACATATGCTTTTTGCATATAATCAAATTATAATTTAATTCCAAACTAATTCTGAAACTATCTGCAAGCAAAAATTATATTAGTGGTAAACATTGGTCAGATATTCTCCCTAATATACAATTTGCAATCAAAAAAAAGCACACATAAAAAAAGTTTTAAAGTAAACTACTTGGAATGCAGGTCTCAGGAGTTTCCCAATTTCAGAAAGTTAACATCATGTTCTGTAAATGGCTTCTGTGAGTGTTATTTCAGTGCTCTGAACATAAGTGACAGGAATTTTATACAAATTACTAAAAACATGAAGTTAGCGTGCATAAAAGGAAACACTATTACACACCACAGCCACGTAATGGAGATCAGTTCTGTGGAATTTTTCTATATGCCATGCTGCTACTACACATTTACCTTGACCTACAACATCCTTTGAATTACTAAGGAATTATGACTCGAACAAAACCTTACCAAGAGAAAGTTCCAAGAAGAAAAGTGTTACTAGAACTTAACTTCAGGACACTTAAGTCCTCAAACTGACACCCAACTTTTTAGATTCTTCCTAAGAATCAAGATTAACTTAGATTCTTCCCAGTACAAACCAGTATTTGTACAGACCTCAATACAGATGATAAATAGAAATATATTTTTTTTCACAATGTAATGAAGAATGAGTGCCACAGAACACCTAATTCCCTATGGGAGCAAAAGCAAACTGGGTTGCTGAAAAGTAACCTATTCAGCACCATTGTCTAATCACATGTTGTTCTGACTTACTTCCAGAGCAAGCTCCACCTAGTCATTCTAGCCAGGAAAGTAGTTGTCACCTTACAGGAACATCTGCAAGGACACGACGTGTCAATTACTTTCTGTAACCAAGTACATCAGACCTGGAAAAGTATGTAACAAGTATAGTATTCCAGCTAAGAAAGAAGCGGTTTTGGTTTTTTTTTTTTTTAACTGCAAATTTTTGTCTGCTTAATCTTAGGGACATCCAAGTTAATTACAGAAACTCAACATTCTAAACTTTAAAGAAGATATAGAAGCAAGGTGAATTCAAGCCAGGTAGATTACTGCACTATGTAGGAAATGTACTCAGCAACTCAGATGGAAAGAAAAGCTATCCTGATCACTCCAGATGACCGGGAAGCTTTCAGTAAAGTCATCTCTAGTCTCTGGGAAGACAAAGCTCATCATAGGCCTCAAAAGTAGCAACAGAGTGGAGAAAAGGAAAGCATGAAGAAATAAATATAATGAGCAGGTGAGGAAATGTAGTTCAAATCCTACAAAAAAAAAATTAAATATAGGAAGCCTTAGAAGAAACCTTATAAAAGTAGCCAGGGAGAAAAACCAAAGTTATTCTAATAACATTTAAAACCCCAAGAAAGTTTTCAGTCACATTGATTGATTACACTATTGATTACATAGTTAAAAAAAAGACTTAGATTCAGGTTGCAATGGCTGAAAAACACACTAGAATGAATTCTGAAGATTATTCAAAGGTGCATCACATGTTCAGCACAGCCTCAAGCTATCTACTCTACCTTTACACCTGTGAACCTTAACATATACATTTATTCTAAATGGAATCCAAGAGTCTGCCCGTGGCTTCTTGGAAGTATATTTTAATGCACTTACATACTGCCTGCCTGCATAGCACATGACCTACAATTTCTGATAAAAATCAGGAGTGTTGAATAGCTGTAGAGAACACATAATCTAACATTTGCTCTAACACAAAAAACAGGTTAATATTCTGTTATGAAAATTTTAAAGCTTCGTATATGAAAGTTACAGATTTTAGCTGTTACCATCTGATAACTTCAGATACCAGGGAGAGCAAGACAATATATTAAATCAGAACGCAATAAATAATAAGCCACAATCAACAGGAAGTCATGACAAACATAATGTAACAAGTTCGCTTCAGTGAAATTAAATTACTAGAATCAATATCTGAAATACTAGCTTGTTTCATATTGTACCAATAGGGATACAGAAAATTATAGAAACAAATAGGAAGGTATTAAACTATCATACTCAATCAGGTCTCAAACTCCTTAGCTGCAGGATTGACATTAAAATACTACCACAAAGTTAACTAGCATATCTGATGTTTGGAAGGACCTTCAGTTTGGAGCTGGAAATTAAAAAGTAGCTCTCCTTTAATTTCCCCTATGCAAAGTAAATCTAGTATCAACATTGGTTACGTACACAAAGATCCTTTGAAATTAAAAGCAGGGTAAATTTCAAGTTATTCCATTGACTGAGGCCAGCTGGACAAACCTCCCTTCCCTACTAATAATTTATCAGCATTGTATTAGAAAAAAATAACTACTTGATATAATCTTCAAAAAGACATTTAAGATACATCTGAACCACCAGTGGCTGAAGCAGTGCTGTTCTCCCCAGCAACACTAAATTTACTACCACCAAAATCTTCGACAACTTCTCCAGTGCTTTAGGAGGAAGAGCTATGTGGTTTCCTCTCGTCGTGGGCGACCCTTTGCAAGTAAAGGTACCAGGGAAACGTACACGGGTTTCACATACAGCCAGACCACACCAGTTACTGCTGCTCCTTGAGCACAATACCTGTACCACGGCTCGGCCTCCCGCAGCACACCCCGCAGAGCCCCCACAACCCCATCCGTACCACAGCGGCCTGCAGACCCCCTCCCAAGGCCCCCACAAACTCTCGGGGCTGCATCAGACACCGCAACCAGCTCCTCTACGATGCCCCATGGCTCCTCTGCCCAGACTCTGCTACCTTACGCCCCTTCCCCCAAACCCCTCTCCTGCGCAAGGCTCCCCCTCGGCGGTACCCCCATCCGCGCCTGCCCTGGCCCCTCGCCGACTGGACCCTCCTCCCGTTAGGGCCCAGGGCCC